AGATGACAAGCTTGAGCCACCACACCTAGCCACGTCTGTTCTTAAATGAGAAGTTTTAAAGGACTCAACTTTGAAGAGAGATTTGTGTTAGTTAAACACTAGGAAAAGCTTCCAGATAATGAAGAACTGGAACAGGGCATAGTGGGAGAGTAGAGAGAGATTCTTCACTGTATGTACTAAGGAATAAGTTGATGTTGATATACCCAGATGCTGATAGAGATGATGAAGTCCTATGGATATTCTCTGAGCTCAGTCATTCTGGAAATGGAGTTTGCCTAGAGAGTAGGTGGGACCCTTTATCTGCTGTGCTGCTCTCTTTCCAACTTCATCCCAATGCCCACCTGTTGTGGAACTTTTGTACTAAGCAATCTGCCACAGTTCCTACTTCTAAAACAAAAGGGAATAATTGTCTACTAGCTATATGGAGTCTTACCTCAAATGGAATATATCTAAAACTAAACTTACGACCTTCCTCCCCTCCTTGACCCTGTGGGTCTCTGTAGGTATTACTTTTTTTCTTTTCTTCCTTTAGAACCAATTTCCTTAAATGAAAGTCTTCACTTCTTGCCTCCATTTCTTCATTTCAAATTTATTCCTAGATCCAAATCTGGCTTCTTGTCTCATTACTTCATTGAAACTTTTCAGACCCAGGCCACCAATAACCCTCTTGAAACTACTGTTTTGGCCCAGTGCAGTGGCTTACTCCTGTAATCCCCATACACTGGGAGGCAGAGGCAGGAGGATTGCTTGAGTACAGGAATTCAAGACCAGCCTGGACAATGTAGCAAAACCCTGTCTCTACTGAAAATACAGAAAATTAGCCAGGTGTGGTGGCTCATACCTGTAGTTCCAGCTACTCAGGAGGCCGAGGTGGGAGAATCACCTGAGCCTGGGAGGTCAAGGTTGTAGTGAGCTGAGATCATGCTACTGCACTCCAGCCTAGGGATCCAGAGTGACACCCTGTCACACACACAAAAAAAGAGCCGTGCAAGGTGGCTTATGCCTGTAATCCCAGCATTTTAGGAGGCTGAGGTGGGCAGATCACCTGAGGTCAGAAGTTCTAGACCAGCCTGGCCAACATGGTGAAACCCCATCTCTACTTAAAATACAAAAATTAGCTGGGCATGGTGGCAGGTGTCTGTAATCCCAGGTATTTGGGAGGCTGAGGCAGGAGACTTTCTTGAACCCGGGAGGCAGAGGTTGCAATGAGCTGAGACCATGCCATTACACTACAGCCTGGGCAACAAGAGCAAAAAACTTTGTCTCAAAAAAAAAAAAAAAAGAGGAATAACCCTCTTTTGAGGTATTACATTCCACAAAAGTCATTCATTTTAAGCATACAGTTCAGCAATTTTTAGTTAATGTGCAGAATTGTGTAATCATCAACATAGTATAATTTTTAGAACATTTCTATCACCCTAAAAAGATTCTTTGTCCCCATTTGCAGTCACTCACCTTTGACAGTAGGATGCTTTTTAGTCTTTGACTTTTTTGACTGCTCTGATGTATCTGACTCCACTGACTAAGCCTTTCCTTTTGAAACATTCTCTTCCCTTGTCTTTCTTGTCACCACTCCCTCTCCTGGTTTTCTACCTAACTTTCTAGCATTTATTTCTCTTCACAGCTTACTTTTTTAATATTTTTTTGAGATGAAGTCTCGCTCTGTTGCCCAGGCTGGAGTGATATGGTGCAATCTTGGCTCACTGCAACCTCCACCTCCTGGGTTCCAAATTCTTCTGCCTCAGCCTCCCAAGTAGTTGGGACTACAGGCACATGCCATCACGCCAGGCTAATTTTTGTATTTTTAGTAGAGACAGTGTTTCACATATTGGCCAGGCAGGTCTCAAACTTCTGACCTCATGATCCATCCACCTCAGCCTCCCAAAGCCTCCCAAAGTGCTAGGATTACAGGCGTGAGCCACTGTGCCCAGCCCAGAAAGGGATGGGTTTAAATCTGTTGTCTATACAGTCATTAATACAATTCCCTCGTTTTTGTCCTTGCTTTATCCCTACCTTATGTGGTACTTGATATTTCACATTCCTGAGCAGAATTTCTGCAGTTCTTCTTAGCTGATTGGCTTGCTTCTTGTGACTTCATCCTTCAGTAAGCACTTTATATGTTTTGTTTAGTCAGATACCATTGCCCTATCTTTGTCTCCCATCTTAAAATGTTATGGCTCTGGGTTAGAGATGTCAAAGACAGAGTTTGCATTTTAATTTCTTTATTCTCATTTTGGAATGATTTCAGAAAGGGAAGACAGAACATCTTTAATCTAGCTTCCTAAAACTGGAAGTGAGTTTGTTTTCCCAAAATATCCAGTGAGATGATGTCGGGGCTTATTATCTCACTGGATATTTTGAGCGACAATTTCTATAATTATTTTGATATCTTTAATTTTATATAAAATAAAGTCCTAGTCACTTTTTGTTAATTGAAAAGCTGAAGAAATATTTGCAGAAAGATAGTTTCTCTTGGCTTCTTTGGCAAGTTACAGTTTGGCTATGCATTCTGTTGGTATTTCAGTGCAAACAGTGTTGGTCTCACTTTTCTATCCTAAGATGCTCTGTTCTTTATATAAACAGCAGTAGAGGCAGTTGTTCTCTTCTTCTCTGAGTGATTATCACTTTAGTAGCAGGTGGAGTGATTCATTCTCTGGAACATCTTGGAGGAGACTTTATTATTTGTGGGGGATAGAGTGTGGGGAGAGGAGAGCTCCAGCAATGTGTCAGATTTTATACATCCTGGACTAGCATAAAAAGAAGCAAGTTCTTCCCCCACTGCAATTTCAAAGCCTGGAAGTAACACCACACTTACAAGGCTCTGAGAAATCACATTATTCATAACGGGGACCATGATTCACATGAACAGAACAAAATGGAATTATCAAAAATAGATTCGGTAGATCAATCTGTAGCAAAAATATCTTCTGACTTAGCTATTAATTGGCTGTAATTACAGAAAGGACCATTCCATTTAAGTTCTACCACCTTCTCCACTTTGACAGACTAATTTTTATTCTTGAATGGCATGTCCTTATAGGTCAAAGTATTTGGAAAACAGGTTTTAACATGACTCCTTCCCCCTTTTTTCTTGTGGTCTTTTAAAAATGAGACTTATGGGCTGGGCATTGTGGCTCATGCCTGTAATCCCAGCACTTTGGGAGTTTGAGGCAGGTGGATCACGAGGTCAGGCGTTCAAGACTAGCCTGGCTAACATGGTGAAAACCCATCTCTAGTAAAAATACAAAAATTGGCCAGACCTGGTGGTGTACACCTGTAATCCTAGCTACTCAGGAGGCTGAGGCAGGAGAATTACTTGAACCTGGGATGCAGAGGTTGCAGTGAGCTGAGATTGCAACACTGGACTCCAGCCTGGGTGACAGAGCGAGACTCTGACTCAAAAAAAAAAAAAAAAAAGAGACTTAATTCAATATACCTTGTGTTAATTGTACTCATTTAATTGGTCACCGTGAATTGTCACTTTTATGCTTTGTATATTGACCCACTATTATTTTTAGTAGCAATGATTATAATAACCTGCAGTGTGGGTTAGAAGGGATTCCATTTGATGGAATGTGAATTCCTGCCAGAGCTATTATTTGTTTCAAATGTGAGCAGTATGGTTTCAGTCCTTTTACCTGGACAGTTTTTCTCCTATTGATTTCCTGCCTCTCCAACATAATAAATCCCTTTTTAGGGAGTAGTAAACAGAAAAAGGCAATTCCAGTTTGCTAACTACTACTTTATATATACACATACAATATTGAGTGCCTAATATTCAAGCAACTATGCAAGGTATTTTAAGGGATCTAAAGATGAGAATGTCAGCTGCTTTCAGCTGCAAGTAGTAACAAAGAAATACAAAGACACATAAAGGCATTATTAAATATAAAGACATTTATTATGTTAGTAAAAAGAAATCTAGAAGAAGGCCAGTTCCAGGGTTGGTACAGTGGCTCAATGATGTCTTTTAGCTTCCTGCTTAGCCATCATCAATGGATTGGCTTTTTTCTTTAGAATTATATATTAATGTTTAGAAGAGCTATCTTAGTTCTAAATATCATTTCCTTACATAGCCACATCAATGGCAGAAAAATGGCAGTCTTTTTCTCATTCCTTTTCATCAAGGAAGAAAATATATTTCTCTTTATTTCTTCTCTTAGAAGAAAAAAGCCTCTAACACATTTCCTTCATCTCCCACTGGCTCAGATGGACTCATGTACCTATACCTTAGCTGAAGGAAGGCTGGAAACATATCTGTTATCTCTAGTATATATGGTAGAAGTATGTGTGTGTGTTGTGTGTACATTGCTGGATATGCAACCAATAGTGTCTGTCACTAAGAATAAGATGAAATTGGCTGGAAGCAGTGGCTCATGTCTGTAATTTTAGAACTTTGGGAAGCAAAGGCAGGCGGATCACTTGAGGTCAGGAGTTTGAGACCAGCCTGGCCAACATGGTGAAACCCTGTCTCTTCTAAAAATACAAAAATTAGCCAGACATGGTGGCACATTTCTTTAATCCCAGCTACTCAGGAGGCAGAGGCAGCAGAATCTCTTGAACCCAGGAGGTAGAGGTTGTAGTGAGCCAAGATCATCCCACTGTACTCCAGCCTGGACAACAGAGTAGGACTCTATCTCCAAAAAAAATTAAGAAAGAAATTTCAGTCCTTCTTTAAGAAGCTTTGTGTTGCTCAGGGCAGAAGATAAGCTACAATTTTATTATAATTTCTATGTGATACATTTCCTACACAGTCATGGGCTTCAATTTAGATATCACCTTTAAATTGATAATGAAAGCTGCTTTAGGTACTTTGAATTTGGAGCTGTGAAGCCTGTCCTCTCCCATTGTTCCTAATTTTTAGTTACAAGATCTGTTCTGGCCATCTTTTTCATAAATAATGTTTTAGGAATGAAGTACCAAATTACATATTTTTGGGTGATGCTCTCTTTTTCCAAAATGCTTTTTTTTTGAGACGGAGTTTCACTGTTGTTACCCAGACTGGAGTGCTATGTCACGATCTCGGCTCACCGCAACCTCTGCCTTCCGGGTTCAAGCAATTCTCCTGCCTCAGCCTCCTGAGTAGCTGGGACTACAGGCGCGCACCACAATGCCCAGGTAATTTTTTTATTTTTAGTAGAGACGGGGTTTCACCTTGTTGACCAGGATGGTCTCGATCTCTTGACCTCGTGATCCACCTGCCTCGGCCTCCCAAAGTGCTGGGATTACAGGCTTGAGTCACCGCGCCCGGCCCTCAAAATGCTCTTAACTTCCTTCTCTGCATGCCCAAATCCCATTTATCCTTCCAAGAGAGTGAAAAATAATTCCTCTTTTATTTTTTCAGCAAACATCTGCTGCATGCTAACTATGTAGTAAGCACTATTCAAGCACTGGGGATACAAGATGAGATCTGACCTCATGGAGCTTACAGTCAAGGAGGGACAACTGACAATGAACAATTAAGAATAGGGTACAATAGGACAGGCAAAGGTACTTATACTGTCAGTGGGGATGTGAGCAGATGGGAGCAAGACTTGTAGCGTAGACTGAATGTTTGTGTCTCCCTAAAATTCATATGTTGAAACCATAGTCTCCAATGTGATGGTATTAGTAGGTGGGGCCTTAGGGAGGTGATTAGGTCATGAGGGTGGAGCACTCATAAATGGGATTAGTTCCCTTGTAAGAGGGACCCCAGAGAGCTTTCTTGATCTCTTTCTGCCATGTGAGGACACAGTGAGAAGATGGTTGTCTATGAACCAGGAAGTGGGCCTTCACCAGACACCGTATCCTCTGGCACCTTGCTCTTGAACTTTCCTGTCTCCAGCTGAGAGAAATAAGTGTTTGCTGTTTAAGCCAACCAGTAATGGTATTCTGTTATAGCAGCCAGAATGGATAAAGACAACTTCTTTAAGTGGTAAGTGATTTAAAAGAAAAAAAAGACAATTTTTTTGTTTTGAGAGGGAGTCTCACTCTGTTGCCAGGCTGGAGTGCAGTGGTGTGATCTTGGCTCACTGCAACCTCCACCTCCCAGGTTCAAGTGATTCTATTGCCTCAGCCTTCCGAGTAGCTGGGATTATAGGCACACACTGCCATACTCGGCTAACTATTGTATTTTTAGTAGAGTTGGAGTTTCACCACATTGGCCAGGATGGTCTTGAGCTTCTGACCTTGTGATCCACCTGCCTTGACTTCCAAAGTGCTGGGATTACAGGCGTGAGCCACCATGCCTGGCTAAAAAAAAAAGACGATTTCTTTAAACTGAAGGATAAGTAGGAATTGGGGAAGAGTGGGGAAGGGAAGGGAAGAGTGTTTGTGGTAAAGAGAAGCGAGTGTAGGAAATCATGAAGGTGAAAATTCTCTTGAAAAGGACCTCTCTAATTCCTCTCTCTTTTTTTTTTCCTTAGGCCCTTCTCTGTCTGAAAATTCCTCTTTCTCTTAGGTAATTTTTCCATTTGCTATACCTTATAGCACTTAATATGCAATGGTTAGGCCATAAAGTCTCTGAAGACAAAACTTACAAGGAGTGCGTGATAAATATGAAGGCAGCTTCAGAGTCTAATGAGACTGTATATGTGTCAATGCAAAATGAAAGCTTAAAACATTAAAATATTTTAGGTAAGAGGTGGACTATACCATATGGCCTTCAAAATGACAGGGAATAGTACCACCTGTCTAGGTGACTACAGAGACCTAAGCAGCAGGGAGGACTGATTCATAAAGTTCTGTAGGAAGTACAAAGTAATTATAGTTCCAATCCTCAGATGTTACTTTAAAGTCTATTTCAGGAAACATAATGAAAGCTTGGTACCCATCAGAAGGAAAATAGCTACTCACTTTTGTTTGCATAAGCTTTTTAAAAAGTTTCTTTGTTTAAACTGTTCTTTGTATGTGCCAGGGTCTGGATTAATGGTGAAGAGGACTCTATTAGACCTGACAAACTGCTTGTAAAATCAAATGTCCATGCCACAAGTTAGGTTTTTACCATTTTTCTTTAGATGCATATTCTACCTGCACGTGTCTGGCAGAGGAAACAGAAGGGAGTAAATTTTGATAGTGAGTGTTTGAGGATAGAGCTGTTGTCTTGATAGGCTAGAACAGATGATATTTTAAGAACTTCAGTTCCTCCCCGTGATTTATTCTAGGTCAGCAATTCATCCTTGGGTCTGAGAAGGCACTTTTTTGATCCTGTCATTTCTACAGCTAAGCAAATAACTACCCAGTAATGAGAAAATGTACATAAATGTTTTTGTGAATTATATAAGATACTATATACAAATGTAAGGACTTTTTTTTTCTTCACTTGGCAATTTTTTTTTTTTTTTTTTTTTTTTTTTTTTTTTTAAGACAGGGACTTGTTCTGTAGCCCAGATTTCAGTGTAGTGGTCACATACTACAGACTCCAAATCCTGGACTCAAGCAATCCTTCTGCCTCAGCTTCCTGAGTAGCTGGAACTACAGGCGTGCACCACGACATTCGGCTAATTATTTTATTTTTTGTAGAGATAGTGTTTTGCTTCGTTCCCCAGCCTGGTCTCGAATTCCTGGGCTCAAGCAATTCTATCGCCTCGGCCTCCCAAAATGCTGGGATTACAGGCGTGAGCCATCGCGCCAGGCAGCTTTATGGATTTTGCAAGTCATTTTCTACCTCTAGGCTTTGGTTTCCTCATCTGCAAAATTGGGAGGCCCTGATTCTGACAGTTATAAAATTCCTGGAAGCAATGGAAAAGAATGTTATTTAGTACGATGCCGTGTGAGGAATTATGATAAGGTGGAGAAGGTGGGGTGTGTGCAGGGGTGAAGGACAGATCTGAGGACTGTGGGGCCGGCTGAGGGTTCGGGAAAGAGGCTCCTATTACAAATCTTATGGCTATAGGACCCACTCACACTTTTTGAGGTATCATTCCACCTTAGTCCCGGCCCCGCCTCAGCCTCACCTTTCTTTCGCTTCCGCCCCATCTCTTCCCCTCCCCTTCACTCACTTCTTTTTCCCTCTCCTCTGGCTGAGAAGTGCCACACTTCGTATGGCCGCCACCGTGCTCCGCTTTCCATTTCTGGAGGGCTGCGCGCGCTCTCATGCCGCACCTCACTCGCGTGTCGGCCCGCCCTCAGCCCCTTCCGATTGGCTTAATATGTAAGTGACGTAAGGGCTTCATCTACCCGCTAACTTATCCCTGGTTTGCCCCGCCTCCTCCTGGCTTCTGATGCGAGTGGAAACCTAACCTGCCCCGCCGCCGCCTCACGGGAGGAAGGCGTCGAAACCAGGAAGGCGATGGCGATGGCGATGGCGGTGGCGGTGGCGCGCGCGCACGCACGCACGCACGCACGCACGCACGCACGCCAGCGGCCGGCGGGGCAGCAGGCTCGCGCCCGGGCTCGCCCCGCGCCGCGCCAGAGGCTCGCGCACTCAGCAGGTTGGGCTGCGGCGGCGGCGGCAGCTGTGGAAGCTGAGGTGCTGCGCGTGAGAGGTCCCAGACACGTCTGCGGTTCCGGCTCCGCCACCTTCCGCCACTCTCACCCAGGTCTCGGAGCCGGGTGCTGAAGGAGGGAACGGCCCTAGCCTTGGGAAGCCAGAGCACACCCCTGGCTCCTGCTGACACCGCCCTCCTTCCCTTCCCAGCCGCGGGCCTCGCTCAGTGCTAGGCGACTCTGCGGGGAGGCGGCGGCTGCCAGTCTGTGGAGAGTCCTGCTGCCCTCCAGCCCTGCTCCTCCGTCGGGCCCTGCAGGGGCCGAGAGATCTCGGCGCCCGCCCTTCCGCTCGCCTTTTTCGTCAGCGGGTTGGAGCATCGTCGGTCCGGGAGGTCTCTGGGCTGAGGCGGCGGCAGCTCCTCTGGTTCCACCATGTCCGCAGGAGGAGACTTCGGGAATCCACTGAGGAAATTCAAGCTGGTGTTCCTGGGGGAGCAAAGCGGTGAGTGCGTGGCTCCCCCACTCCTGGCAGCTGGCCGCAGCGTCCCCGCACCGCCCCCGGTGCGGCCCTTCCGTCCGCGGAGGCTTCCTGCTCGCCTCGCGTCCGCGCTCGTTGCCACCGCAGCCCTTCCCGAAGTGCCCGCCGGTGCCATCAGCCCTCCGCCTGGATCCGTCGGTCGAGTTTTTACCCTCTTCCCCGGGCTCTTCGATCGTCTCCGTTCTCCGCAGGCCGGCCATCTCCGGTCGATCTGCCCTCCCTCCGCAGCCCTCACCCCGCCCAGCCTCTTGTCCATCCCTTTCTTCCTCCGGTCTCCGCCGTCTCCCCTACCCCGGCCTTCTTTCTTGAGCCCCACCCTTATTCTTTGCCCTTTTCCCAGTTCCTCGGCTCTGTGAGGCCCATTCAGGGAAGCTCCACTCCTGAGAGCGGGCCCTCTTCAACCTTGGCCAAGGAGGGTGGGATCTGGGCGTTGTTTTCCCCAGAGGCTTGGCTCTGAGAAGTACTGATGTCGTGGAAGGTGGGAAGGGGGGTGGTCGTAGAAAAAAAATATTACATGGTTTTCACCTTAGTGGGAAATTAGTCTGGAGGAAAACATCTGAATTGGAGGCGACTTGAGCATGGGGTAGTTGGGGGTGAAAGGGGTAGTGTCGGCAGAAGAGATTTTTGCCCCTTAGGTTACATTGGGCTGTGGCTTGTCGGAAAACCTCATTTTGTTTTCTTGACTTTCATCACTGACAATTCTTTTGGCAGTGTTGATTTTTCAGTCTCTGCCAGATGCTATGTCATGATCATTTTACTTGGAATTTTTCTCATCTCACCTCCCCTTTTTCTCGTTTCAACGTGAAGCAGCGTTTGAGTCTCATGGTGGTACAAATGGGAATTACTGGGGAAATGTTAATTATTCATTTCTTCTTGAGTATTTTCCAATGATAAATATATTGAGGATTCATGAGAGAGAAGACTTGGAATAACAAACATCTTTGTTTTCTCGGATTTCCTTTGGAAAATGGAGTACAGTAGGAATAGACTCATCATCTAGTTATCTGAATTCGATTTACATACGATTTGGGCTAAATGATTCTTTTATGCTTAATATTTCGTACTGTCTGATGAGTGAAATTGTTATGTCATTTACCTGGTCAGGTTATGTTATCACTGTACTTTTGTATTAGATACAGGATTCTAATTTTGTGATTGTTATTTCTACGATTACTTCGTGTAGTAATTCCAGTTTTCTGCTGTAGTATGCAAACTTGACACTCGACAATTTAGAGATGATTACCCTTCTTTGTTTTTCTCACACTTTTCATGATCATCTTTAAAATTCAGACATTGAGAGATTAGTTCTGAGTCATCAAACATTGAATTCCTACTATGTGTTTAGGTGAGGTTATAGAAAACATTAGTTATTTGTTTCGACTGGAAAGCATGTAAGTGATATAAATTCATAGATTTTATTACTACTTTGAACTACTTATTCTAATTCGTATGCCATGACAGGTTAATACTCTCGAAAAATTGCCTCCAGTTAGAACTAGGAAATAATTTTTCTTCTTTTATATGTAGATTATCCTCCCCTCCTCCCTTTTGGGAAAAAAATCCAATCTCCCTCCGTTTTGCTTATATATTTTCCTGGAGTAAGTATAAACTTGTGTCTTTAGGTGAGTAACTTGGTAGAACCTATGGAGTTGATTCTGGTCCAGCTATTATATGTCAACTTCAGGATACTTCTCAAAGATAGAGTTTTTTGGTCATTATTGATAAAAAGGATCCAAAGTGCTTATTGTGCATTCTAGGGATATTATTGTCTTCCTTAATGTTGTGATGCGCAGCTGTTTAGTTTGCATGAAAAACCCATTAATCTCCCTGTCTAAAAAGATTTTAGCATGAATGGAGAGCTTAATTTCCTATCTTCAGGTTTCCTTTGAATTTCTTATTTGTATATGTTCTAATTCATAATGAAGAGTTTTATGGCTTCTGATTTCTTACCTTGTTTAAGCCTCTACTACTCTTCCCCCTCCATTACTAAAGCTTGGTTAGATTTTTTTGTAATAGACTTTATTTTTTTGAACAGTTTTAGACTTACAGAAAAATTGAAAAGATTGCGCAGAGTTCCCATATACCCACACATCTAGTTTCCCCTCTTATTAACATCTTGCATTAGTATGGCACATTTGTTACAATTAATGAATTAATATTGGTATGTTATTATTAACTTAAGTTCATAGTTTATTCAGATTTTTAGTTTTAACCCAATGTACTTTTTCTGTTTCAGCATTCAATTCATGATATGAAGTTAATTATCTTTTGAGGTTACTATATTGCCAAGTAATGCCATTCAGTAGCTTTGACAATGAAAGATTGATCTCTGTTTTCATGGTGTCAGTGTCTATAGTTTTCTTATGTGTTAGTAGAGGTCTGTAGACTTCATGTTGTTTTGATGTAACTCTTCATGAATTGTTTATTTTTAGGTCTGTTAGAATTCCACAATCCAGCTTTCAAAGGCTATAATCTGTGGCAAAGCCTTGTTTTGTTCCTTAATAGCATTTGCCACATTTATAGTTATCTGATTTTTTGGGTGTTTATTTCCCACAAAAGAATGCAAATCCCATGAAGATAAAAACTATTACCTTTTTTGTTCATTGTATCCTCATTACCTAGCATAGTACCAGGCTCATAGTAGTTGCTCAGACATGTTGGGTGAATGAATGATGGCTGAATCTAATAATAACCAAAGCTGGTAGCCTGTATTACAGTTTTTGCCATGTTGAAGTTCACATTTTTTCCTTATACAACTGATAATTTTACAACACTTAAAACTTACATCATTTGATTGTATAGGGAAATATATCAGATACTTAAGAGAGTGGAGAAACCAATCATTTAGGGGCCCATTTGAAAAATAGGACTGACCTGAATTTTGTACTTTTTTTTTGAGTTGAGCAAAATTAGCCTTCCTTTGTTAAAGTTGTTGTTAAATTATTTGCTGTTAATATAACACATAAAAAGTATTCAAATTATATGCTCATGTATAATGATGTGCTCATGTACTCATGGAACTGATCTGAAGTTAGGTTTTATTTGGCTTATCAAAAATCTAAGATGCTAGGGTGGGCACGGTGGCTGACAGCTGTAATTCCAGCACTTTGGGAGGCCAAGGTGGATGGATCATCTGAGGCCAGGAATTCAAGACCAGCCTGGCCAACATGGTGAAATCCCGTCTCTAAAATATATATATGTATATAGGGGGGTGTGTGTGTGTGTGTGTATTTAAGATACTGTGCTCTGTAATGAAAATGAATTGTGTCAGTACATGAAGCAGATTGGATTAATGACATCAATCTTAACCTGGGTAAATTCTTTTTTTTTTTTTTCTTGAGATGGAGTTTTGCTCTTGTTACCCAGGCTGGAGTGCAATGGCGCGATATAGCCTCACCGCAACCTCCACCTCCTGGGTTCAGGCAATTCTCCTGCCTCAGCCTCCCGAGTAGCTGGGATTACAGGCACGTGCCACCATGCCCAGCTAATTTTTTGTATTTTTAGTAGAGACGGGGTTTCACCATGTTGACCAGGATGGTCTCAATCTCTTGACCTCATGATCCACCCACCTCGGCCTCCCAAACTGTTGGGATTACAGGCTTGAGCCACTGTGCCTGGCTTTAACCTTGGATAAATTCTTACAGTTTAATAAAGGAATGTTCAGCCGGGCATTCGGAATAGCTTGAATCTGGAAGGTGGAGGTTGCAGTGAGCCAAGATCTCCCCACTGCACTTCAGCTTGGGCCTCAGAGTGAGACACTCTCTTACTGTTGAATATTTCAACATTTATTTATGAGACTCTGTCTCATAAATAAATGAATAAAAGAATGTTGAAATACACAACTAAGTTTCCTTGAGAAGTCTCTTGTGTTATGACCTCTGGCTATTGTCTTGAGATGCAGAGGCACTTTTAGTAATGGCACTCAGTGGTTTACAGTAGAAAATATTATATATATATATATATATATATATATATGTTACTAATTATAAATTAGGAGATGTAATGGCAGAGAGAAGTGTATGTTAATCCTGCTACTGCTTTTTACCCTGTATATTGCCTTTTTTTCCTCACATCAATTCTGATCAAATTGCAATATGTTAGATAAGGAAAAGATATCTTACTGTTAGAGACCAGCAGTACTGACCAGTTGTTTTTCTTTTGAGACAGGATCTGGCTCTGTCACTCAGGCTGGAGTGCAGTGGTGCCATCTTGGCTCACTGCACCCTCTGCCTCCCAGGCTCAAGTGAGCCTCCCAAGTAGCCTGGACTACAGGCTAATCTTGTACGGTTTTGTGGAGATGGGGTTTTACCATGTTGCCCAGGCTGGTCTCAAACTCTTGAGCTGGAGAGATCCTCCCACCTTAGCCTCCCAAAATGCTAGGATTATAGGTGTGAGCCACCACACCCGGCCAGTACTAAACATTTTATATTGGCTAGATCGGTGGTTTTTAACTTTTTTTCCCCAAGACCTCTTTCTGCTCTTACACATTTTTGAGGATCCTAACGAACTCTTGTTAATATAGTTGTTGTTCTTCCTCCTCTTTCTTTCTTCCTCCTCCCCTTCCTCTTCCTCCTCTTCCTTCTACTCCTCCTCCTCTTGTTCTTTTCTACTTCCTCCTCTTCTTCCTCTTCCTTTTCCCTTCCTTCTCCCTTCCCTCCGCCTTCCCCTTTCCCCTTCTCCCTTCCTTCCCCCTTTCCTCTTCCTTCTTTCTTCCTCCTTCCCCCTTCTCTTTGGATGCAGTGACTGTTCACAGGGGCGATCATGGCCCACAGCAGCCTTGTCTTAAGCTCTCCTCTTGCCTCAGACTCCCTAGTAGCTGGGACTGTAGGCACATGCCACTGTGCCTGGCTTTTGTTTATGTAGTTTATATGAACATTTACTGTACTGAAAACAGAAAATTTAAAAATATTTAATAGATTAAAAATAATAGGGCTAAGTGCAGTGGCTCACGCTTATAATCCCAA